AGAGAGAGAGAGAGAGAGAGAGAGAGAGAGAGAGAGAGAGAGAGAGAGAGAGAGATAGAGAGAGATGAGAGAATCCATCAAATATAAAATATACTACACTTTCATATTTATTTCACATCAGTTTGAATTTAATTGAAAAGTGACGAGCCTATAAACAAAAAAAATGGATTCTACCGGAAATTGTGGTTCATTGTTTTTTCAAGAATGACATGCCGATGTGTTGAAAATGCATTAAAACTTCTCTTCAAAATTAATAACGCTCCATGTCAGCGACAACAACAAAAAGCTGTGCACCATGTTTCATGTGAATGAAATGGATGAATTTAACATTCAAATACTTTCTTCATTTCCTCATCTCTTTCTCATCGCATATTGGCATAGTTTTTTTTGCGATTATCTTACCGTCACAACGTAGCAAAATGGTGAAAAGAAAAGGTGATGAAAATATTCAAAGTTTTCATGCTAATTTGAATATAATTTTTGCACATTTTTCTCGGTGCGAACAATCCATAACTTTTAACATTCTGACACAAAAATTGTCACATTTTTTACAACGATGGAAAATATTTTAAAAAAATGTGAAATTTTTGTTCTCTTTCTTTTTTTCTTTTGGCTTTTCAATTTTAATCTACGGTTTAAAAAAATTATGATGAAATAGCTTTCATGAACTTTCAAACCAATATTTACGTTGTTAAAAAAAGTAAATTGTCCGAAGGCTAATTTTATTGCGCTTTAACTGATCAACATCCACAAAATTGAGTTGAATTACGGCATTGCGGAGATAATTTGATAATTGACGATTTGTCTAGCGATTTGTTCAACAAATTTTAATGCCAATGGCAAAAATGAACGGAAGAATAAATGTACCGCCCTACGTAGACAGTGACCATCATATAATTATTGAACCGAAGCTATTTAATCTAATCGAAGATGATTAGTGTTGAATCCAAATCAATATTTGGATAAATAAACATATAAACGGCAAAAATTCGATTTTTGTGATATAAAAAGCTTTTTGAACATAAAAACGTTTCCTCCACAACGCTCTCCTTCTCTTGTTGTTTCTTCTCACTATTCCTCCTCCTCAGAGGAATTTTGTGATTGTCACATTTTCAAAAAATAATAGAACAATTGGAACAAAACAAAGTGAAAACCACCAAAACCACTAAAATCTACCGAAAACTTTGGATATTTAAAGTGTTTTGAATTGATTGAGTACTTAAACATGGGCATGCATGTTGATTGAACCTCAATTAATTGACGAATTATCGGATTCATGTTAAGTATGTATTCATGTATTTTGTCGTTTATCCATCAAAAACTTACGCTCTCTGCCACCGAACACACACATATTGAGCTGAACAAGAAGTTTTAAGTGGCTAAACATGTTTAAATACACAAATTACACATATCTATGATATACGTTCGTTTTCGTTTGCGGCATCATCATCATCATTTGCTAGAAAATTATTTGCTCTCAGAGCACTCGATTACGTGCCTGTCATTAGCAAAACGATGACACCAACATTCAGTATTCATTCCACATATGAAACTGTACAATTAACATAAGTGCGCGTGCAGCACATAAACGCACACAAGCACGAAAATTATAATTAATTGACCATAAATACCCGCTCTTAATCGGATAATATTATAATAGTGAAGTTGGTTTCGAACGTAACGCACATAGTGAACGAGAGGCGAAATGATTTTTTGATGCCCGTCTCGCACCATTCAATATTGGCATGATTCATTCCATGTTTGATGTTATTCCGTTCCAATTTTTTTTTGCTAATGAAATAAAAGGCATTTCTGCTGAATTTTTATGGATATGCATAGTAAAATTATGTTTGAAATTGACCAAAAATATTTTTATTCGATCAATAAAACATTTCAAATAGAAATTCGATTTAATTAACACATCCAATGAACTCGTCAACCGTCGTTATTATTCAACCATGGTAAAATTTAATTAGTCAAATTAATAGGAATAAATCCAAACAATCTAACAATTTAATGCTGACTTTCTTATATTGATTAATGCATTGAACGTTATTTTGCACGATACGCAAGCAAACCATATTGAAACCGGAGAAACCGAGCTCTTCGGACAAACAACAAATAATGATCCATTGTGTGACTTAATTTTTTTCTCTTCTTCTTGGCTTTACGTGAACTTCAATGCAGTTTTTTCACATGCCATTTATAAAGAAAGAATATTTATTTTTATCCTTGGCGAGACGAAATAACAATGACGAGAAAAACAAGACTGTACCTTCGCCAAAAGATTTTGATGAGAAAATCTCTGCGATTGCCACCATCAAGAGGGAGAGCAAGAGAAAAACAACAACAGTAATTCTACGAATCGAATCAAAAGTGGAGCACAGAACTATTTAACATGTATGAATAAATGGACGTATAGTATAACAAAATTATGCTCAATCCCCGACAATTGACCCCCGGCGAAAGCGATTGAAAGTGTTTTTCACCGCGCGCCCATTTATTTTCTCATACTTTCGTCACTAGACGGGTGTTTGTTTTGTTAAAAGCACGCAATTCATCTATTCAAAAGAAATTCTTCAATTTGCCGGAACAAAACAAATTGCTTTCATATCTTCTATCTCTCTCTCTCCCTGTGTGTGTCTCTGTCACTCTTGTTCTTTTTCTTTTGCTGCACATGAGGCGAGACGTCATTCCATCACA